AAGTCAGCCTTTTGATCCTCTAAGATCCCGACGTTATGCTTGCACATGTAACAAAATGAATTTCAAAAGGCTTGGTGGATTAATATTTCATTCAAAAACAATATTTGCAATATTATTTATGACCTTACCTTACACACTCGTCTTTCTTGAAAGCTTCGTAAGCTTCTACCATTAAGTTCTTCAGATCCTAACGGCTCACTTGCGGGTAGACGTACGAGCTTGCCATGTATTTGCTAACCATTTTGACCTGTGCCTGTTTCGTTAGGTTTGAATTCAATGCTTCATGATGATGGACATCAAACAACTCTGGTGATGACACTAGTGATGCACTGCATTTAGGAACGCTCTGAGGAAGATGGACTCTTTTAACTTGAACTGATGTAAGGTTCCCATCCCCTCTTGCTATTGCCTCAACTACTGTCTTAGCCTAAGGAATATGATCTTCTTCGGCCTCAACTAAGTGAAGGTCCCTCTCTTTTCCCGTAGATGCATCGATAAGTACTTCGATCTCAAGAACATGGTTTTTTTCAACATCATTTGATTGAAGGGTCACATCCTCTTAGACAACATCATCAAGAATGTCATCAACATGAGTTACATTCTCCATAAGACCCAACAACGTCATGGTGAATGTGAACACTAGGTTCATCATGCTACCCATCATCAGCATCATTGTGGTCCTCACCATCATTGTGAGATGAAGCACTGCCTTACAGAAGGAGACAAATGGGAAAATTCGTTAACTCATAAATACCACAAATCATAAATCGAGAATCAAAAATAGGACTACACCTGCTAAACGTAAACCACCAATATATGAGTGAAGATAGAATAATGTGCTTGTGATTTAAGGCCATCTAGAATCCAACCAACAATACAGTCCTCAAACATCTACATTGCAAGAGTCAATGACTGAATTGAGGTCTTCAACTTCAACATGTCTTTTTTATGCCTACACATGATCCGCCACAGCTGACATTTCGTCACTACTCCGTCATTGACTCATATCGAATGGGTCAACTACAATAACATATATTACTGTGTTATTCAATAATCATATATGGAATTGTTTAATATAAACCGTTAAAACTTTAATATCCTTAGTAGTAGCTCGTTAGCACTGTGTGGTTAAGCAGGACCGATCGATGGTTGAGGAGCTATTGTCACCTCTGTCAATTACAATAACAGAAATTACTGTGTTACCCGATAAATATAAGTGGAAATATTGAACACAAACTATTACACCAGATCTTACAGACGACTCATTTGCACTGTGCATTTAGGGAGGACCTCTTGGTGGTTGAGGAGCTGTCGTCGCATGATCCAACTGTAAACACAAATATGTAATTCAGTAATCACAAATGGAATTGTTGAACATAAATTGTTAGAATCGTCTTTACCGATTGTTCACTGACAAAACCATGGTTGTCCCCTTCTTCCATCAACGCAAGGCTCGGTAGCTCATCGTCTCCAACAGCGGTAATGAGCCTCTACTTCATGGCACCAGCTACTCTTTTCTCCTTCAAGTTTCTCTTTTTTTTCCTCACACCTAAACCCTAGTCTGCTAGATCCTTCATGTGCCCTATTGGCACATACTGGTGGCCCTTAAATAAGGGGACATCGATGTCCACAAAATACTCTTGTTTGGCTTTATTCGGGGTGGGCTTTAAGGAGTCGAGTGCCCACAACTGCAAAATAGGTATTGTGATTAAATTTTAGGCAAAAGTATTATCCAAATTTACAGCACAAATTAGTAGCTATTCACTCACATGCTGAGATGACTCAAACTTCTCAAATGCCTTGTAAAAGTCTTTCGGCTTTTGATTGCATTACCATTTGCATATATGTGGGTAGACGTTGTCCTTCAAAATAGAGGGGGCAACTATTTTTGGAAAGGTCGAAACTCCCTCAATTGCCCAAATTGCAAGTCAAATGTAACCATTATCAAACCGTAAATGATAAACGAGTGCAACCATAAATTATTATGTCAAAAGGAAACTGAAAAATGTTACGTGACAATACCTGTATCACCCACATGAATTCGTAAATATTGTAGCATAAATGATTATCCTTCTGCAAATTTAAGGTAGGCACTTCAAACCCATTCAATAGGTAGTCCTTGGTTAGCCTTCGAACATAATGACCCTAGGGGAAGACATTCTAAGCGTCGATATCCTCCACCAATGACGAGCTAAGGCATCACCCGTTTATAGTAGTCTTGACCAAATAAAATGTTATTCACGATCAAGACGAGTGCCATCTTGGTCGCATCTCCTGGTCGTTGAAAATTGCCTCCACGGAACATATCAACCAACGCTTGTAGCTTAACGCACTGTTGCTCTTTCCAATATCTCACAAGAATTTTATCGGGAACAACCTAGTACGATCGTGTTAACACATCAGGCATTTGACCAAACTTTAGTCCAGTGATAAGGTAGAACTTCTGCTTTGACATATGCACCTTGCTCTTGCCAGTGGCAAACCGTAGCTCATGGTCCATTAACTCCATTTCAGTGATTCGATGAACCATGATGTTATGCAAAAGACCAGTGCAAAAGTAGCCTTGTGGATATATGTCCAGCAGCGTTCCGAAGCACGTACACTTGACTGCATCATACTCCCCTTTCTCTTAGAAAGTCTCGTTATTGTAATGCAGTTGCAACCACTTCTAGTGGGTTTTAATAGAGACCTTGAATGCCCACTTCTCCATCGGCATAACAAGCAAACTATCAAGATCATCATATTGTCTGGGCTGCATTTGCAAAACATGGTAGACATGCACGAGTGAGTTAACCCATGATGTGCAACACATTATACTAAAGAAAGATATAAATGTTGTTACACGCCATGAATATCACGTAAAATGTTGTTACATGCCATGCATATCGAGTAAAATGTTGTTGCATGCCATACATATCAAGTAAAATGTTGTTACAAGCCATGCATATCGAGTCAAATGTTGTTACACGACATGCATATCATGTAAAATGTTGTTACACACTAAGCATACCAAGTCAAATGTTGTTACACGCCAACGCTGAGCAGTGTGATGACACGCCAACCATGGCATGTCGTGACACACCAATCACTGTAATTACTGACTCATTACATGAACTGTCCTAAAATACCCAATGTGGTGACACGCTAAAAACCCCAAAAACCAATTAACCCACTACACGCCATATCCAATGTTATAATTCTCTATCTCCACAATTTATCTAAAAACCATCAAACCAGGAAGAAAACAGTTAAAACCTAACAAAAGCAAAAACACGAACATATCAAAGCAACCCAGTAAAAAATGAATGAACAGAAGAAAGTTTTAATTTGAGACTGACTGACCTCTTCACTGATAATCGACATTGTTGCTGTGATGTCGTTAAGCTTGCAAAGAACGAAGTCGAACACTTTGGTCCTTTTGGAAATGAGGAATGAATCAAACTCTCTATTAGTTCCTTCACACAAACGTTTGCAAATTATGAAAATGGCAAAAATATATATAATTAAAATGAAATGGCCTTATAATATAATACAAACTATTCATTCATTCGGTGGAAGTTCAAACGGTTTCCTTGTTATCTGTTTGCATTTCTTTTTTTTCCACTTCAAACCATGGCATGTCACATATTCAAGCATGGCGTGTCATATGTTCAAGCCATGCCATGTCACACATTCTCACCATGGTGTGTCACATGTTCAAGCCATGCCGTGTCACAAATTCTCACCACGGCATGTCACAAACTCTGAACCCTGCCATATCATAGCCGTGTCGCATATTATCACCATGCTGTCTCACATATTATCAGCCTACCTTTTCACAAATTCCCTTCATAGCGTGTCACAAATTTTGAACCTTGCCATGTGACAACCGTATCACATATGTTCACCATGTTGTCTCACATATTCTCACCATGGCGTGTCACAAACTTTAAACCCTACTGTGTCATAGCTGTGTCACATATTCTCACCGTCTTGTCTCACACATTATCACCCTCCTATATCATAGATTCCCTCTATGGTGTGTCACAAACTCTAAAACCTACCGTGTCACAGATTCCCTCTATAGTGTGTCACAAATTCTGAACCCTACCTTGTCACAGCCGTGTCACATATGCTCACCATGCCATCTCACATATTCTCACCATGGCGTGTCACACATTCACACCATGGTGTGCCGCATTCTCATGCTAGCATATCACATATTCTCACCATGTCATCTCTCATATTCCTTCCTAGTCGTGTCACATATTTTCACCTTATGATGTCACATATTCCTTTCATGGTGTGTCACACATTCCTACCATGCCATGTCATATATTCCCACCCTGCCGTGTCACATATTCCTTCCATGTCGTGTCATAAACTTTAAACACTGCAGTGTCATAACTGTGTCACTTATTTTCACCATGACATGTCACACATTCCCACCATGTTATGTCACACATTCCCACCATGCCGTTTCACAAACTCTAAACCTTACTATGACACAGCCATGTCACATATGGCTTACTATAGCACGACTATTTCGTATTTTAGATTCACATATTTTTCCTTTCGATTCACCACCGTATCAAGGATTTTTAGTTTCATATCGTTAATGAAGCTTTGGATTCATCATGACCGATTCCTCGTTCGGTTTTATATCACTCTTTTCGTGTTATTTGAATGAAATGTCCAAAATATCTAAAAAACCATATCTTGCAATATGATTTTGTTCTGCACAAGCTTCTAAAAAAAAAAAATATTTTACACAAAATTAAAGAGAATAAATTCTTTACAGATTTATTTTTCTCATTTTGCACATATATGAGAATGCGCGTCAATAAAAATATCTCATTAAAGGTATTTTTATCTCAAAATTTTTTTTAGTAAAATATAATTAAAATTATCTAAAGAGTTATTTCTAAAAACACCTTAAAAATTTTCCCCATTAAGTGCTTGAAATAACTTCCAGGACCTATGCAGCATGTCAGCATGCTACCTCTAGACCATAGTCCATTAAGAGCTACGTCTCCATGCAAGTTTTGCACTGTTATAGTCCTCTCTAAGCTGAATAATCCTTCCTGCATCTTTCTGGAAGATGGAAGCATCTAATTAATTGGATAGAGTTTAATTAATGACTAGTGTTCATAAGTTACATTCGTATTTGGCAGGTATCAATCAGATTGACATAAGTCAGACAAAGGGTGCAAAGCTAGAGCCATGTTAAGCACCCTCAACTCAGCAACTTCATCGTGTTCAAAAGTTACAGAGATCACGAAACGCATCCTTGGAGGCTTCACCTCCGTCAGACACCTCAAGCATGTTCACGCTGCGCTTTTCCGCTTTGGGCTTCACCAACACAACTATCTTCTCAACATGATCTTGAAAGCTACCTTTCATTTTGGTCAAACCAATTATGCTTGTCTTATCTTCAATCAAACTAAGCAACCCAACATTTATCTTTGGAACACAATGATTCAGGGCCTTGTTTCCATCGATTGCTTTCTCGAAGCATCGCAGTTTTATGCTTCTATGCGTAGCCAAGGCTTCTTGCCCAACAGTTTCACATTCCCTTTTGTTCTCAAGGCTTATGCCAGGCTTTTGCATTTGCAGTTGGGTATCAGAATCCATGCCCTTGTTGTCAAACTAGGCTTTGATTGTGATGTCTTTGTTAAGACCAGTTTGCTTTGTTTGTACGCAAAATGCGGATGTTTGGATCGCGCAATTAAGGTGTTTGATGATATTCCAGAGAAGAATGTCGTTTCTTGGACAGCCTTGATTAGTGGCTACATTGACGTTGGACGGTACAGAGAAGCGGTTAATATGTTTAGTAAGTCGTTAGAGATGGGTTTGAGGCCTGATAGTTTCAGCCTTGTTAGAGTTCTGGCAGCTTGTGCTCACTCAGGGGATTTGAATAGTGGAGAGTGGATTGATAGATCTATAACACAGTTTGGATTGAGCAGAGATGTGTTTGTCGCAACCTCTGTAGTGGATATGTATGCTAAGTGTGGAAATATGGAGAAGGCGCGCCTTGCCTTTGACGGGATGCCTGAGAAGGATATAGTTACTTGGAGCACTATGATTCAAGGTTATGCATCTAATGGACTCCCAAAAGAGGCACTAGACCTCTTCTTCCAAATGCAGAAAGAGAAATTGGCACCTGATTGTTATGTTATGGTCGGAGTTCTTTCTGCTTGTGCTAGATTAGGAGCTCTAGAATTAGGGGACTGGGCTAGCAAGTTAATGGACAGAGCTGAGTTTTTGTCTAACCCTGTACTAGGTACTGCATTAATTGATATGTTTGCAAAATGTGGGAGCATAGCTCAAGCTTTTGAAATCTTTAAGAGGATGAAGGAGAAAGATCTCGTAGTTTGGAATGCTGCAATATCTGGGCTTGCGATGAATGGACATGTTAAAGCTGCATTTGGTCTTTTTAGCCAAATGGAAAAATCAGGTATTCTACCTAATGGGAATACTTTCATTGGCTTGCTTTGTTGCTGTACTCATGTCGGTTTGGTTGATGATGGCCACCGGTATTTTGATAGCATGAGTCGTGTCTTTTCTTTGACTCCTACTATTGAGCATTATGGGTGCATGGTGGATCTTCTAGGCCGTGCAGGTTTATTAGGTGAAGCTCATCAGTTGATCAAAAATATGCCAATGGAGGCCAATTATATTGTTTGGGGAGCCTTGTTGGGTGGATGTAGACTGCACAAGGATACCCAGTTAGTGGAACATGTACTAAAGAAACTCATTGAGTTAGAACCATGGAATTCGGGAAATTATGTCCTCTTATCAAACATATATTCAGCAAGTCATAAATGGGATGATGCTGCAAAAATTAGGTCAATCATGAATGAGAGAGGAATACAAAAAGTACCGGGATACAGTTGGATTGAAGTAAATGGGTTTGTTCATGAATTCCTTGTGGGTGACAAATCTCATCCCTTGTCAGAAATGATATACACAAAACTTGGCGAATTGGCCAAGGAACTTAAAGCAGCTGGTTATGTTCCAACCACAGAATATGTGTTGTTTGACATAGAAGAGGAAGAAAAAGAGCATTTTCTTGGTTGCCATAGTGAGAAGCTGGCTATTGCATTTGGTTTAATCAGCACTGCTCCAACAGATGTAATTCGAGTTGTTAAAAACCTTCGTGTATGTGGTGATTGTCATGAGGCCATAAAGCTTATTTCAAGGGTTACAGGAAGAGAGATAATTGTTAGGGATAATAACAGATTTCATCATTTCATCGGTGGTTCATGCTCTTGTGGAGATTATTGGTGAAATCAAATATAAACAAATCACAGGTAAGTGATAAAAAAGCATGGACTTTGTCTGTTTTGCTATATTCTCATCTCATATTATTGCAAAATTGAATATCATTTATGTGGTATATTGGTGAGATGGAAATTCCAATGACCATCACAGTTATCTCTCTATTAAAATCGTAATTGCTTTATTCTTTTCTTAAGTTTTCCAATTGCATGACAGGTGTGTGCTGATTCTTCTCCATCAATACTGTTATACCAGTGTTGAAACTGGAAACTGATTAGCACATCATGTGTTTATGTCCATCCTCAGTTGAAGCATGGTTTATGAGCAGAATCCCTTTACGTCAAGAATGGAGGTTTCCCTTCTTTCTAAGATTGTGAAGAGCAGTAGCAGAAGATTCTTTTTGGTTTTAGAAGCTTTAGTGCAAAAGTTTGCAAGCTTATGTGCTGGAGCATTTTGGAAATGGAAGATTCTTTGGTTGATTTATACATGGTAAGAAATTGGCCAAACTCTATACTCCTTGCTACTGTTGATTGTGTTATGGATTCTACCTATACTACATTATTTGGTTCCATCATTGGACAATGGGTGGACAGCATGGTATAAATAAAGGCTTGCTTGAGATGTTTTCTTAATATTAAGATTTCAAATTTCAGTTTTCATGTAAATCCTTGTAATAAACTTCTTGTGCAGTAGTTAATCAAATGATTCCTTTGAGCACGAACAACATATATATAGGGATGCATAATCATCCAAATTTTCCAGGCGGTTAAATTTTGCTGAATTGTATGAGTAGTACTCTTTTCATGTTATTAATGGCATAACCTTGATTACTCCATGGCTACCTATACTGCAGCATGAGAAAAAGTCTCTTAATTTTCGGTTGAAGAAATTTCCCATATATATTGTTGTCAGTAAGTGCCACAACATAGCCTATATCTTTGATTGGTGAAATAATGTCATCAGTGATCATCTGCAGAAATCTTTTTTAAAGATGTAAAATTACATATTAATCTGAGAAGTGTATTTCATTAAGCCAGTTTGACTGGCTGCTAAGCAAAAAATTTAAACTGACAAAAAGATCAGCTACTCAGTTCTGTTGGCAGGTTCTCTAACTTTGGTTGGCAGCTCAGAAGCTCTCTATGATTTCTGGAGGTGCTGTGATGGCCTCATTGGTATTCTCAGCCATACAAGTTAACAAATCTGACAGCGGTCATCTTGCTAGTGATACTGACAAATCATCTTTGAGGCTGTTGTTGCTATTTCCACATTTTGTGGGACTATCTTAATTATAGATCATGTTGACTGCATAAACTGCTTTCTTGATAACTAATACGGGGAAGTGTAATATGCATTGTTAGACTTAAAAAGAAGGGTTGGAATTTGTTTCCCCCAATAATTCATCTTTAAATTGATTATCTATACCAAAAATTTAGTCTGAAGTGTCCTCTGTTTATCCTATTGTGGTCTGTCATTAAAAATCTGAAGGAAAAGAATTGTGAAAGATTAGGTATCATATGACAGGCACCCCTTGTTCTGTTCTTATGCTTTTTCTAACTGTTGGTTGATGTTGTTTTCTTTATTGCCTTCCAGGACTGGGCAGCGGTAACATCAGAAAGTATTCAGATTTACTGACAAAGATAAATTCTATCATCTCATTGATATAACCTGCCAGCTAGTTGTGCTTGTTGTTATTGGCATCATTGTTTAATTTTTTTGGAGCAACATTGGCTTCATACCAGCTTTATATCACTCAACACATCTGCTATGACCTCACCAAGGTGGATAATTTTATTTGGTTGGCTGGACTATTGGCTTTTTATGCATATGTATGCCATTTATACCGTCATTAGGTGAAAGCAGCCTGAGGAGGACAAAGGAATTTCACCAATTGATACAAAAGAGACCATATCTCCTATGGCAAGAGCAAAGTTTTTCATGATGTGCAAAATTCAGCATTATTAAGAAACTCTGCGTAGTAATTAAATGTCTTCGAACTTCATTATTTTGATGCATGAAGAGTGTGTTTAAAAGCAAGAGCATAGTGCTTCCTGCAGTTGGTTTGGCATTGTTGTAATTCACAGTCTCAGGTGACTATCTAGCGATTCTCTTTGATTCAACTCCTGAAGTGTCATTCTGGCCAAAAAATAAAAACAATCTCCTCTAGTTACAAATAAAAACCATGCGTGATTTATTTAATTGGGATTCTTTCTGATAGTTATTGTTGGCCTGACCTGAAATGTTGTGTTTTAGGTTGTGAAAATGGGAAGAGGTTGACAATCATAATGCATTCAAATCCAAAGTTGGTCATCTTTCAAGTTTGCCAGAGAAATTTACTTCATTTCTGAACAATCTTTAGATTAAGCTTTTGGTCCTCTGGTGTATCTTAAGAACAATCTTTGGATTTAGCTTATAATCCTCCATGTGACAACTCAATGCTTTTTGAATCTTTGATGATGGCAGCCTTGGAACTGGAAGCAGAGGCGTCCCTTCATGTGTTATGGGAGATGCATGCAGCCATGCAGGACAGGCATCTCAATTAGAAAAAGCTGCAATAGTTGTTACCTTGTCTTGCAACTTGTCAAGAACATATTCCTACACTTACAAAACGGCTATAATCTTTCTGGTAATAAGGAGTCACTTGTTCATTATAAAAGTAGCACATCCTGGTCCTGATCACTATCAGTTGGTTGCTTCTTATAAAGAATTCTTTAGAACAGGTCAATGGGAAGTATTGATTGCGCTTTGCATATTTGGCATACACCTTTCTCATGTAGTAGACCTGCCTGCTGATTTGGGTTGTCTCAGTATCTTTGTATTATATAGGAGGGAGGGCCTCTTTTTTACTTTGAGAAGCTGCATCATTAGTTCTATGTTTGTAGATGATTTGAAAATGCATAATTAAGCCAAAATAGCTTAGAGAAAGGTCTTTAGGATTGATTACTGTGTGTAATTTCATTACTCTAAATATAATCTATCTACAGTGTGCGCTATGGCAGGAAGGTGAGTTTATGTAGATAATGTGTACTTTCCTCTTACTTTGAGATTGTAACTTAAGCAATGCAAGGGAAGTGGTATTTCCCATGGTTGTAACTGATTTGTTACTTTTCCCAACATGAATAAAGTTAGGATAAGTTTCCAATGTATAATAACTGTTCATGTTTTGAACATAAGGCTTAACATCATCTCATTTTAGTAGTTTTGAGATTTTACTACTAAAAAATCTGGAATATGTTGAATTGGGGAACATGCATATTTAGTTATAGAATTATAGTATGTTACGATTCACATCTCTAATTTTTAGTATATTTTTATTTTGTTTAAGAATATATAAACTAATTATGTTTTTACTAAGCAAAATAAGTTGTTTATGTATGAGAATAGAGTCATGCAAAATTAATAAGTTTTGATATTATTGATTCTCTCTCATTGGTAGGAGTATGGTTTTAATCTAATCCAATAACAGATTTTAAAATAAATATTTGTTATTTCATATGTATTAAGCAAGATCTGCTAGTAATGCCTAATAATATATGTAGCACATCTTATGTTTATAATTATCGAACTTTATCCAAAACATTTGGGCAACTTTCTTTTTACATATAAAATAGATTATGCTTTTTTTCAAGTATTTATAAGTTTGATAATAATTTTTAATCTATATTTTTATAAAATAGTAAAGAAATGTCAATTTTAATATAATCATTAATTTTTTTACTTGTTTTTTCTTTATAAAAAAAATAAAAATACCAATTAACAACAGGAAAAAACAAGTAACAAATAATGAAAAAAACAAATATCATATATAATTAAAAAAAAACAAAAAATATATATAATTAAAAGAAATAAATGATTTCGTTTTACATATAGACTCCGTTTCGTAATATGTCACATCTCGTTTCTGAAGACATAATTGGTGTAGAGGTGTGGACGATTATAGCTTGTTTGACCCAAACAAGGTTATAATCATCAAATTTTCCATTATCATCACATATCAAACATTATCATTTATTTCAATTTTTATGCATACGTAAGTACTACCACATCGTTATGGAATTTACCATCATAACATGCGCATAAGCTTTCATTTAAGCAAATAATTCATAATCGATTATGGGTCCATATACCCATCTATATAACATTCGTTTACACACTAGTGATGCTCGCGTAGGCCCTTAAGCTATCATTTTCAATTTACACATACACATATATACCATTAATATCAAGTATAATGTCATACCATGACTACATTATCACAACAATACCTAATAACATCCTAACATAAATAATAAAGATGGACTCGTCAGTAAAAAGTGACTTGACTGATCTTGAGGGTAGATCACCTGTAAAAAAAGAACAGGATATTATTTCTGTGACAAGGTAGATAGCTAATCAATGATCTAAAAGAAAAAAAAAAAACATGTGAGTCATAAAAACTCTACGAGTGAAGACGAAAAGAGAACAAGCCAAAAGGAAGAGTTTGCACACAAATCATATCTTTAACACAAACGTAAATTTTGAGGTAGACACACTTTCTTATCAAATCCTTGCAAAACTGAATTGCCATAAACCAATTAATTTTATTATTGAAATCAATGTTTCATAAGCATATAACTTGCAAGGAAAGGCTAAACATTTATACAAAACTTTAGGAAAATGAAGAAAGTTGTATTATACTTTTAGCATCAAATCCTCTTTAAAGGATAACGATACTTAATTGCTAAAACCATGGTGGATGTTCTACTGCCAATTCACACATATTGCTAAAACTACTTTTCTAGTCAGCTCATATATTCAAGGTTCTGACTAGAGTTCAGCCATATAAAATCATGCAATCAATTATTCAAAATATAGAACTCAACTCAAGATTTGGAACTTATTTTGTTTATCAACTTACCATACTCAACTTATAACTTAGATTCTAATCCATCAATCAATCCTTTATTTCCAAACATAACAAAAAATCACAAGAGATACATAAATCAATGACAATGAGAATATGCAGTCTACATGTATGCTCTGAATGAATGTGACCTTGACCCATGTTTGGGATTAAAAATTGGTTTGCATCCAATAGTCTTACTACACTCATGTGAAGACATCAATATTTTCACTTTGTGTTTTACACTATGGGATTAGAAAATGAGTTTACAATGTTTAAAAGTGGCAAAACAGCTATAGGTTGCACCATTTTAATATTCAACCTAATTATTGATAAGTTATTCAAAGGCTAGGTAATTAAGCACAATGCATATTCTGATTTGTACTATTATTAGCTAAATTAGGACAAAGTAATTGAATTAGTTTGAAATGGACTCCTAGGGGGTACCTTCTTGTCACTACATATCTTAAGTTCCTTCAATTTATTATGACATTAATCAATGTAGATTTATAAATTAGATTATTAATAATATTTGTAAGGGGAAACCTGTGATAATGCAATTATAGTTGTTGTCAATGATTTATCCTACATATCTCTTCCACATATAATTTCTACTAGAGTTTGCAAGAGGGAAAGTTAATAGTCATAGTATTAGTAGGATAGAACATTATCTCTCTCTCTCTCTCTCTTTCTCTCTCTCTCTTTCTTTTTGATAATTGGAATAGAACATTATCAATAGTATCATTATAAGCATACCTTCAAGTTGACAATGTCAAATAGGCTTTCATGTCATGAACAGAAACATATTGACCTGAAAAATGTCAGAGATATAAATTACATAATTTTGGAAAAGATTATACCCTTATTAAAAAGAGAAAATTGCGAGAGATAACCTTCCTCATAAGCTCAATTTAAAAATATCATTTTTTATAATTTTAACTATTTTTAGCCAATTTTTGGCATGACTTGACAACAATGCCCTTTAAACAATTTCAGACATATTAAAATGGTTTCGATTTTCTCTATCCCTCCATCTAGATAAAAATTTCAAAATTAAATCTCAATTTCTCTTTTTGGTCAAATATTGTCTATCTCATCATCCAAAGAGTAGAGATAACATCAAGCTCTTTCTTATTTTGCTTTATTTTTCTGGATGGTGGATCTTAGGGTTCTTAAGGGCGATGAATAACAATTTTGCTCTTTTATGATGATTGCAAGTAGCATGATGAATGTAGTAACTAGATGCTTTCTAGTGATGAAATGTTTCAAAACATGTGCTGCGATAGAGATGCTTGTATTGATGAGTTGGATCAGATTGGTTAAGATGATGGGTTCAAGGAGAAGGAACAACTAAAGCATGTTTTATGGGTTTTATGGTGGTTCACAGTTTTGTTGTGTTTGAGATTGGATAATTGTTAAACATGTTTACTAGGGATTTTGATTCTTTTTATAAGATTTTGAGTTGAAATTGTTTACGGAATATTTTGTAAAAGAAGTATATTTTGTTTTTGCATAAGAGGAGTGAGTAAGGTTCTCTTGATAGGAATATATTTTGTCTTACTTTGGAGGGTTATGGGGTATTGTAACCTATTTTTTATGAAATGCACAATTTCATGGCTTAGCAAAAAAAAAAAGTATGTGTTTTAGATTCTTGAGTTTATTGGTTTATTCATAGAACCTCAAAGTTGAGAAGTTGAAATTGATTAATCTAGTTTTTAAGTATTACGAGACTAGTTTTTAGACATTATGTAACTTAATTATTACGTGACTGATTTTTAGACATTATGTGATTGGTTTTAGGCATTGCGTGACTGAGTTTTAGGTATTATGTGACTAATTTTTAAGCAATGCCTAAGTCACACAATGCCTTACTAACTAGTCACACAATGCTTATTAACTAGTCATGCAATGCCTAAAAATTAGTCACGTAGTGCTTAAAAACTAGTCATGCAATACCCAAAGTCAGTCATGTAATGTCCAAAGTTAGTCACGCAATCCTATAAACCAGTCACACAATGCCAAAAATCGATTAGGCAATACCTAAAAACCACTAAAACTACTGAATTTCATTTAATAAGATCAATAGCTTCAAATGATGCATTAAATTCTATTTAACAACATAGTTATGCCTACTTCACAAAGAATGCTCAAAATGTTCAAAAGTTTTTCTTTATATATCAAAAATCACTCCAAAATGTTTAAAAATCCTCAAAATGCTCAAACGTTTTCTTAGTGTATCAAAAACTAATTCAAAATACTCAAAATGCTTAAACATTTTTCTTTCTGATAAGGAATACTCTAGAGATGAATGGTCTAATGAGGAAAGCTCAAAGAATTTGAGTTGGTTTGAGGCACAGACCTAAACATATTTGACCAATTAATAGGTTTTGGGTTGAGGCATGGAGCCAAACAAATAGGTCAGTTTCATTAAGGGTAATTTTGTTCAAATTTTAATTCTCTTCGCTAAAAATAGTTAACATTGTAAGGAAGCCTATTGTTAGAAATGCTTACACATGGGGCCATTTAAAAAAAGAACCCTATTAAAAGTGTTTACCTTTTTTTATTAGAGAATGTTCATAATTGATATTTAACTAAAATATGCATAGCTGTTGTTGGTTTTAGAAAAATTATACTCTTATTAGAAAGTGTAAACATATAAAAATTGATATTGAACTGAAATATCCATAGTCTGCATATACATTTAATTTGAAACAGAATAAACATAAACAATAATCCACGGAGTCATAAAATGCATGATATACAATTAACACTTGAGCATTCTTACGGAGCATGGTTTAATAAATAGTTCGACCAAAGAACTAGTCACATTTGTTGACTTGTTGCATCAAGATGATAAAATCATAAAAAAGATAAAATTTTTTAAACAAAATAGATAAATGAAATCTAATGAGTAAATAACTTAATCCATCTAACTAATT